CGGGCGCGCGTGCCCCGCGGGCTGTGCCTGCACCGACCCGCACACCGTGGACTGCCGCGACCGCGGGCTGCCCAGCGTGCCGGACCCTTTCCCGCTGGACGTGCGCAAGCTGCTGGTGGCCGGCAACCGCATCCAGCGCATCCCCGAGGACTTCTTCATCTTCTACGGCGACCTGGTCTACTTGGACTTCAGGAACAACTCGCTGCGCTCGCTGGAGGAGGGCACGTTCAGCGGCTCGGCCAAGCTCGCCTTCCTCGACCTCAGCTACAACAACCTGACCCAGCTGGGCGCCGGCGCCTTCCGCTCGGCCGGCAGGCTGGTCAGGCTGAGCCTGGCCAACAACAACCTGGCCGGCGTGCACGAGGCCGCTTTCGAGAGCCTGGAGTCGCTGCAGGTGCTGGAGCTCAACGGCAACAACCTGCGCAGCCTCAGCGTGGCGACCCTGGCGACGCTGCCCGCGCTCCGCACCCTGCGCCTGGACGGGAACCCTTGGCTTTGCGACTGTGACTTCGCCCACCTCTTCTCCTGGATTCAGGAGAACGAGTCCAAGCTGCCCAAAGGTGAGGTGACCGCAGGGCTGGAGGACAAAGGGCCGGGAGAGGCCCCCGCCGGGGAGGGGACCTGGAGGAGGAGGGGCTGGGGTGCGCTGGGTCAACTGACTGCCCAGCGAGCCGGCTGCCCAGCCTGAACTTTTCCTGGGACTCTGTTGGGGAAGGGGGTGGAGGGGCATGGGTGGCAGCGTCTGGAGTTTGTGGGCTCTGAAGCTGTGCCCCCCACCCATAACTCACTTTCTAGAGTTCCGTACTGGGTATTTGTGGGTCACCTGTGACCCATCAACTCATGGGGCGTTGGATGCTAGAAAGGTGGAGGCAGGTTATTTATTGCCCCCTAAAGCGGGAGGCGCCCTGCTGTGCCAGACAGCTCAGCCCCTTCCCCCTCCACCTCCCACTCAGGCAGTTTCGAGAACCCCGAGTGGGTCTCAGGTCTCGGCTGTGAGTCTGCGCCTCTGTCTAGAGGGGTGAGGAATATTCCTGGTGGTGTGGTGGCAGCGACGTGGTGCCAGTGGTCCAGTAGTTCTGTCTTTGCAGCCCAGATGTGAGTAGCTGGGTAAAAACCTTCGGCTGGCATACCCTCTGCCTTCCTGGTGGACGCTCTCAACAGTGGCCAGGACACACGTACCCACATGGCAGATGGGAACACCAGGCACAGTGGTTAAGGTCCCGGTGAGGTGAGGACCAGTGGGAACGACACACGGGAGGACCCCATCAGCGGGGTGAGGCTCCGGTGGGGATCAGGACAATGCCCTTCCCGTCTTGCACTGGTGAGCCTGTGTGTGTGGCATCCAGCAGGGGCCTCTCAGCCAGCTTCTGCCTCCCACCTTGCCCCCAAGGGCGCGACACACTAGAAACCAGAGCTGTCCCAATCACTATACACGGTGGCACAGATGCAGACAGCTTTGGTGTGTCTTGTCTTCCATGTATGAAGTTTTTGAGGACGCTGCTCATCCATACCTCGCTGGTTCTGCTACTAAGCACGACCCAGTCTCGGGGCATCACCCCACAGCAGCCCCCGCCCTCAGCTGGCCCTGCTGGCCCAGGCTGACTCTACCACCTGAGCAGCTCCCAAACGTCCAGCTTTGCCTCTATGCACCTGCCTGGCTCCCTGGGAGGGTCCGGGGTCCCAGCAGGGGATTGTCCTGGAGAAGGATGTGCTGGTGCAGTGTGAGATATGCATTCTGACTGCCCTGCCTTCACCTTCAGGTGGGCTGGCGTGAGCCCCCATTGTCAGTTGAGTTGGTATAATTGGCTCCCCCGTCATCCGCATGAGGGCCAGGTATTCTGGGCCGGAGGCTGCAGCTTTCAGACTCAGGTCTGTCTGTCCCGGATGTCTGTGACCTTGAACATGGCATGCACCCAGTCTGGGTCTGAGCCTCCTCAGCTCTGAAGTACTTGCGTTGACCTCTGGGGTCTTTACAAAACCCTGGATTTGGAGTCTGAAAATGTAGGTTTGAGTACTGCTTAAAAACTGGGTGACTCTGGGTGGGTCGCTTCACCTCTCTGAGTCTCATCTTGCCCATGTGTGAAACTGGGGCTACCTCATGGTCCATGACCTTGTAGTTGTCAGGGTCTGAACCAGGTAACATGGGTGAATGTCAAGTCCCGGATGAACACACTTGTTCCTCCCAATGTCTGTGAGTATGGGTGGAGGAGTGTGGGCAGGGCCAGAGTGGCCTGGTCCTACTTGGGGCCACTCGGGGCCACGCTGGGCCATGCTGGGAGAGGCAGCTTGAGGGCCAGGGCTTGCAGCACCCCCTGGCGGAGGGAGTGGCCTGTGCCACGTAGTGTGGCCAGAGCCGTGTCCCTGCAGGTGTGAACCAGAGCCGGCCCCATGTGAGAGCTGACTTCCCACTGGGACGCAGACCTATGAGCCGAGGTGAGCCCTGGCTTCTCCGAGCCTCGGTTTCCCTGCCCCTAACCTCAGGCCCCCACAATGTGTTTGCCGTCAGGTTTGAAGAGATCATCTTTGAAGGGCGACGTGTGCCATGTGCACCTAGGTGTTTGTGTGTGTGTGTGGGGGGGTGTCAGAGGCCCCCTGCTGAAATTTTCATAGAGACAGCAGAGCCGTGGCCAAGGCTTCTGCAGACCTGGCTTCGAGACCTTCACACTAACCCCCACTTGCTGGGGCTGTTGGGGGGGTGGGGAGAGCTGTTGATAAGGTGCAGGGCCTAACAGATTAAAGGGTAAATATCTTGTAGACACAGACATGAACAACTGTGTGTCTTTAAAAGAATCTGGGCCCCTACACCAAAGTAATTTGAGCCCCCTCGATGCTGCTGTTACCGCCCACTTTATGGAAGGCCAGAGGGGTGGCCAGCGTCTAGAGGTGACCCAGGTTGAAAACAGTGGGGGGCGGCCTGGGACCAAGTGGCTCCCAGCTCCCACCCCGCTGACCACCCTCCTCCACCAAGGGGAAGCAGCCTCCTGGAATGTGCACCCCGGGCTTCCCGGCAGGGAGGTGCCGGGCTCTCCTGTGGAGGGGGTTCAAAATGAGGGGCAAAGGGGTGCCAGCTCCCTTTCCTTCCTCTCACCTCCCGTGGCCTCCTGCCCAGAGATGCCACGGAGCTGAGGCAGGGACCTTGAGCCGCCCGCAGCACTGCACACCTGGTCACTCACCAGCGAGTCTGGCAGGCCCCAGCGCCCACCAGAGGCTGCACAAAGCAAAGCGGTTTGCACAGTTCTGCCACCACATCTTGCTTTCAGGAGTGTCCGACGACACCCCTGATTCTCACGGTCGGAGAATCCCCAGTGCGCCCCCCACCCCAGCTCTGGGCTGACCTCTTTCCAGCCCTGGATTCTGCACCTGGTCCAGTGGTTCCCCATTAAGACTCGGGGCGCCTGGCGCTTTGGGACGGGGCTCACCTTGGGGACAGCCAGGTTCCGCGGCCAGGGGGAGGGGCTCTAGACCCAGAGGCCAGAGACTTGGGGAATCTTGCTGGTGGGCAGCGGGAGTCGAGAGGGAGAGAGTGGGGGGTCTGGGAGTCAGGGGAGCCATAGGGGAACCCCATTCTCAGCACGCAGTGACCTTTAAAGCTGGCGTCTGGCCTCGTCTTCGCTTTCACTGAAGTTAGGACCTGGAAACACTGATTGGTGCCCAAGAAACTTGCTTGGAATGCAGATGCCTAGGCCCTGCGGAGCGAGTGCCTGGGTAAGGAACCAGGGGCGAGTTTTTAATACCCCAGACCCCCTCACCCCAGGGTCTCACAGTGCACACATCGAGGATTGAGAACTGGGGGGCTTTCGCTGGGAAAGGCCGTGTGAGGTCATGAGCTAGCTGCGTGCTCCCCTGCGTCGCAAATTTTCTTTGGTGAACAAAGGCATGGACAGGGGACTTTTAGGCTCCTGAGCTCACAGGACATGTCCCAGGTCCCCTGCCTGGCTCCTGGGGCCGCATCGAGGAAAGGCTCCCAGGTTTGGGGCCCGTAGCCAGGCCAGGCCCGGCTTTCCTGGCTTCCCGAGGTGCAGAGCGACAATGGCTGTCTCAGCTCCCCAGTGAGAGGCTGAATGCTGGGGACCCTCTTTCACCTCCTGTTTTAGCCAGGGCCACAGGGTCTGCAGGGCACAGCCCCGGCACCCGGAGGAGGCCAGCTGGTGCCTCACCTGAGACCTTCACCAGGGCTTTAGGGTGCGGCGGACTGGGGGGAGCGGTGAAGTGGGCAAAATGAAACAGGGTCACCTGTGCCCCTTTGGGTCAGTGAACTGGGGACCCCTGGGTGGGGACAGCCTCCTGGAGAAGGGCCACTGTTGACCTTGGGATATTGAACCTTTGAGGACCCGCCCCAGCCCGGGGGTGGCGGGGGACGGGCGCAGGTGAGGTGTTGGCTCAGACTCATCACCAGCTCGCCTCTGCCAGGCCCAAATCACTGGGGGACCCTGCCCCCCACCCCAGTGACCCGCCTTCCCTATTTGTGGGGGCGGGGACTTGTCAGACTGAAGACACAAGCAATTGCTCAGCCAGAGGGACAGACAACAGCTGGCGCTCCCCTGGAGGCCCCTGGACCCTCAGCCGGGAGACTCCGAGGTGACTGTTTCTCTTTCTTGAAAAGTAGAAGCAGTTTTACTTCCCGATTATAAACTAAAACTAGAACTGGAAAATGCAAATACACCTCAGAAGAAAATGAAACTGCCCAGAATCATCTCCCCACTACTGAACTTTGCTGTATCTCCCCGTTTTATTCTTAGGCACACCTCTATTTTTACATAAATAGCTGTTGTGTTTTTGTTTTACATTTACATTTTATTACTGCTTTTTTTTCTTCTAATTGAGTCGGGACTTTCCTGTCATTGTGGGTCTTTGAGACCCATGGTCTCTTCCCGGGGCAGGTGACTGAAGCTGCTGCAGTTGGGAATGTGGCTTGTTTGATTCCTGTACACACACGAGGTTGAGACCTGCGAAGTTTGTGGGAGCCTCTGGTTATTTCCCTGGGGTGTATTCTTCCAGATGGAGGCCCAGGTCAGAGTGGAGGGCTCCTGGAAACTTCTGGACACAGTTTTGCCTGCTTATCCACCAGGGTGCTGGCTCCTCTGGTGACGAGTCTCTGTCTCACCCCCGACCCCTAAGCTTAATCCATCGCTGCCATAAAAAATAGCTTCCGGGCCCTCCCTGGTGGCGCAGCGGGTTAAAGCACGGCACTGAGAAGCTTAAGCCACTTCCGCATGAGTTCGATCCCCGCCTGCCCCGGAGGTGACCACATGGCGCGGCAGACCTCTCCTGACCCGCCCACTGCTCCCCTCAGCAGTGTACTTCGTCCACCTGCCTGTTCTGTTCCACACTCCGTCTCTGGTGAATCCTCTCACCGCCTCTGCACCTCTGGCCTGCACCCCAGTTCTGTATGCACAAATAAATAAATCTTTAAAAAAAAAAAAAGCTTCTGGGCTCTCCCTGGTGATGCAGTGGGTTAAAGCACCACCTTATGAAGTTCTGCGAAGCCACTGCGGCACAAGTTCGATCCCCTACCAGGCTGCGACCCACGTGGTGCAGCAGACCTCTCCTGACCCGCCCT